TAGGAAGGGAAGGTTTGGGAAGGTTTGGGAAGGTTTGGGAAGGTTTGGGAAGGTTTGGGAAGGTTTGGGAAGGTTTGGGAAGGGAAGGGAAGGGAAGGGAAGGGAAGGGAAGGGATAGGATTGTCCATCTGAAGTTTTGCACTGTCATAATTATACTGTACCTAGTGTAATAATTCTCAGCATTTTCAATCATTTATAATATCTGGGTTCTTCTTAATTTGATTGTCCCCTAAATCTGCAACTGGATTATTGCTTCCTTTCCATGTGTCTCCACCTCTGTACTGACAATTATTCTTAAGTGTTCTTTGGGTTCAAATGTTCTCTTTTCCCATATATTGTAGCAGAAGGTGAATTTAGATCTGCATAATCTCTTTTGACTGCTTATCCATGCTCCGGTATATGAGGCAATTTTAGACCTCTTTAAGTGCTTATAAATTATTTTTGAAGAGTGAAAAACATGTTTGTGGTGTGAAAAAGTTATCTAGCAGTGAGTTCATACTCTTACAAGATCTTTTATTGTATTTTTATAAAACCTTGGATCGAAAACATAACCACAAAAATGAGTCATATTAAAACTGGATACAAAGTATTCAAAGTAAATCTTTTTTCAGATCAACTGGAGCAAAATTAAAACTTCAATTTTTTTGTGCATCAAAAGTCTAAAGTATATTTCAAATATCTGAATTGATTTTTAGATCTCCTCTGCATAATAAATATAGAGGAAAGAAACATACTTCAAAACTGTGTGCTAAGGTCTGGATCATATGCTTAAAATTATACTATTTCAGTGTTCTAAATAATACCCAGAAAACCGGATAAACATTGTTTTCTATGCATATTGTCCGCATATTAAACTCCATTTTATTCTAGAGGGAAAGAGCAAGCTGGTAATAACACAGTCTTTTCCAATGTATTTCAAATAATTTTACCAGTGTTTTGGAATGAAATCAAAGCTCCCTCTGAGGTATGTACCTGAGCCTCGGGCTGCAGGGAAGGATCTGATGGTAGATACACACGGAGTCAGGAGGCAGCTCCCTGCCTTCCCTTGTCAAGGGCCCAGGACACTGCCACCACTCCCACAAGATGCAAGTGGTCGTGTCAGCTTATTATATCCACTCTGCACTAAATCTTGTCCCACTAAACCTCTGCTTCCACAGTTTGCTGATAATTTGCAGTCACTGACCCCTGGGCCAATCAAGCAGCAATAAGGACTTACTGTTGTTTGCAGTGCTGTTTGGTGTCCCTGTGCATACCCCCTCTGCAAGTCAGGAGGCACTTGGGAGGAATTTGGGAGGGGTCATACAACAGTGATATGACTCTAGGAGACTATTTCTCTTTTTCTAGACTTTGTCAGATGCCCCTGAGAGATTGTTTGGACAATGTTTTTTTGTCGTTTTCTCCTTAACTACAGGAAAGACTGGATAATGCCTTGTAATGTGAAGGTTTCTCTGCTGTCATCTGTGAATGTCAAGTACAATTAGAAGTTTGCAGGAGCAGTACAAAAGCTAATCCATTTGGAGTCATCTTGAGCACTTGACCTCCTTTTATCTTTGGACAATGAGCTTCACAGATTAATGAAGTGTTTCTAGACTGTTGGTCTTCAGCATCACTGGGTGTCAGCTTCCATGAATACAGATCACCAGGACCACCTTGTTCATGGTATAAAGTGAGTGAGCATAGTCTAGCTGTAAGGCAGCAGCCTGACATGCGTAAAAGGCTAGCATTGTTGGAGAATTTTTACTCAATAGCATTTGGGGCCAATTTTGCACTGAAGCAAATTAGCTGAACAATCCAGAGATAATTCAGAAATCTATGTGTTCAAGGCATTCAAGGACATAATTCATTCACCTCTATATAAATTCTGACCTGGTTACATGAAGAAAGCCCACGTCACATACTGGCAGCTTCAAGTTATTCCATTTATACCCCACAAAATGAGAGAAATGCAGAAGCAAATCAAAACCTCAGTGAAAAACAACCTCCCCCAAAAATCATTAACCTCTGAGCCCAATCACCCCTTGTGCGTCTGAAGCCTCCTCAAAAGACCAGACTAATAAATGAGCTGATTTTACTGTGCCTGAAGGTCACAAATTTGGAGCTATTTCTGACCACAGGGGAGGAGAAAAAAATTCCAAAACTGAGGAGTCCTTGCATTGTGCAGACTCCCAAGTCTTCCTTCAGCTGAAGATGTGCCAGCTTCAGCTCTTCTGCTTTCCCCTCACCTGGTTATTAGCAACTCTGGAATCTCCATTTTCACAGAACTGCAGTTAGAGTTTTCCTTGGGATTGCTTTGCTTTTGCAGCAGGATTTGGGTTGTTATCAGAGCCAGCTGTGTTTTGGGCTAGTCTTGTGTCAGCCCAAAAAGAGTCTGGCACAAGCCTTGTGCATGTTCTGTTGTCTGTAACTGAGTGCTTGCTCCTTGCTGTTTGAGCACCTTTAGGATGAAGGAGGTTAGTTAAAGGAAATGGTGATCAAGTTTGAACAAACCCAAGCACCTGATAGTTTCCACCTGGGAGTTATTAATAAATAACCACCATATTCCACTAATATAAAAATTGCAAATCACTTGAACAAACCAGTAGAAGATTCAATTTTTTTATTATTGTTGTTTTGATTTTTCTGAATTATCAGTCTGAATTTATCTTTAAGTGCTGTAAAAGGTAAACACACTGTGCTTACAGGTGGTGGTATGTTCAAGGCCCAGTGGATCTGCTATTTTATTCTGGAAGGGAATACTGTACATCTTAGGTCTAAACCAAAAGCAGTTCCAGAGGTTTGTTCACAACAGCCAAAACTTGCCATCAGAAATCCTGGGAAGCTGCTTTAACCAAAGAACCGAGCCTAACGGGCTCAAGCATGGAATGGCTTTTGAGATATGTTCAAGCACTTGGCAGCTTGAGGTGTCCATAGCAGGTGCTGGATTTGCTGTAAGTGGGCAATTTATAAACAGAGCTGACAACTGGGAAAACAGAGCATCAGGAGCGTGGCATTTCTGAGCCAGTAGTGCTTTGCATATCAGATGCTCCCCAGTGCACAGTCTGGAAGAGCGACCTTGCTTGGCAGGGCCAGCTGGCTTACAAGCAAAGCACTGCCATGTCAGGGTGTCTGGCAGTACTGCCAGATATTTTCAATAGGCCAGTGCAAATTAGTTTTTTTACTTTTGTCCTTCCTTAATCAACAATATATATTCGTTAATTCTTGGTTAGCTGGTCATTCCTCTCTGCATTTGTAAAGAGAAAAGCCCCAGAAAGGTTTTACTCAGGCTTGCTTTTAAATGCTATTTCAGAACTAATACTTAAAAGGGCAAATTAATTAAAAAAGTCTAGGACTCATCCTGATCTTGATCTCAGGGGAAAAAAAAAAGTTGATATGGGTCTTGATTAATAAAAAATTAGAGTGATGGCTCAAAAACACAAGAAAATAACAGTAAAGATGTTTTGCCTCTTTTTATTTGGTACTCTGACAACTGTGTCTGGACTCCTCTGTCCTCTTCTGGTCTTCCTAGCTCAGGAAAGAAAGTGGTGTGTGGTGTGCAGGCCCTGAGCCTTTGGGATGGTGATGGGCCGAGGAACACAAGGTCAGGGAGAGGGAACCGCCACTGGTCACAAGGGTGGTGAGATCCTGGAGCAGGTTGCCTGAAGAGGTTGTGGATGTTCCATGCCTGGAAGTGTTCAAGGTCAGATTGGATGTGACTTTGGGCAACCTGGTCTAGTCTGTTTACTGCTGAGTATTTGGATTAGGTGAATCTTTAAGGTGTCTTTCAACTCAAACCATTTTACGAATCTATGAGTGGTCTTAGTAGAAATGTTGACAAAAAAAGACATTTAATTTGATTCTAGATTCTATTTTTATTTAAACATCAGTAACTCATCAATAGATTAGCACTAAGTAGATTAAATATTCTACTTAATATGTCACAAACATAATTCTATGGGAGCATTTACCAGTTGAGTTTACTTACACTGCAGTCTGTGCCATTTTATTATTTGATCAGTGGCTTAAAAAAGATGTAATACTATTGTAAACACAATTTGCAACTGACACAAAGACTTAAAAGTGGAAGAGGGATGGACTGCTGATACACAATGCTCTGGAGGTCTCCATGGGATTGGCAGTGGGCAAGAAATGCCAAATATAAGATCATGCTTCTGGGTTCAAGTGCAAAATAGACTTACAGACATGAAGGCAAAAAGAGCAAGAGGACAACTAAGTTCTTTAATCAAGGCCAAGGGCCTTGGGGCTACAGAAAAATCTGCACCCTCCCTGGGGAGTGAGATCTTCCTATCCTCTTCTAACACATGGTTCCCTTTTGGCTGTGTGGAGAGGAAGAACCTGTCTAGAGGCCACTCATGAAGGTTGGAAAAAATCATGGCAGGAGGTGCCAAACTGTCATCTGCAATCACTAGGCAGGCTGCCTCTGCCCAAATTTGGTACACGTGCATCTCTTCTTGGAATGTTTGGATAGCCATACACTCTAGGTGATGCTGACGCAGTGAAGTTGGCTCAGAGAAGAGTGCTTAGAGCAACCCAGAACCAGAGACGATGCTGTGCAGGAAAAGTCTCAAGTTATTAATTCCATCCAATTCACTGAAGAGGAGATGCATCTTCTTTCTGTCCTTCTCCATCCTCCTTTGTAAGCTCTGTTCTCCCTAAGGGCAATTTTAGAACCTTTTCTTGGTTTTCTAGAGCTTTCTGCACTGCAGCCTTACTTCCACAGTCTGCTGCCATGGTCTTACAGCTGACCCTGAGTTCGCTCCACTCCCATGCAGCTAAGGCCTTATTAAGTTTCTGCATCAACCACAGCAATCCTGTAATGTTTCAAAGCTTCCCCCAGTGCCTTCATTGCACTGCAATGCTCTCTGAGCTTTCCTTATTCTATTTTTAGCCTATATCTTTTTTATTTTTCAAAAGTTATAAATTATGTAGGAAAAAATTTCTATAAAATCTGGCAAGCAAACAAATTTAGGAAAGAAACAACTGCATGGGTGTTATAGGTTATAATCTGGGAGAGAATTTTTTCCTCCCCTGCTTCCCGGTAAGAGAGACAGAGCACCAAGCAGGGAAGGGGGAAGGGAAAAAAAGGCCATTAGCCTGACAAAAGATTTAGCCAGCCTGGCTGCATTCCTGTCTAATGGCCCATTGGAAGGCTGGGTCTGCTCGGAGGGGAGGGGGGTAGTTCTGCTGGACCCTCTCGGGAGGACGGAGACAGGGTCGGTGTGCGGAACATTTTGAAGAGAAAAGCCTGGAAGCTTGTTTTGCCTGACTGCCTGCCCTGGCCTGTGTGGACTGCTGATTTCTTGTTTGGCCTGAGAGCTGCCTCTTGGCCCCGGCCCGAATCTGCTGTGTTTCATCGGAGAGTCTCTGTGCTCGCTAGGAGGGAAAGGGAGCTTCTTGGGACGACACCACCTGGGAACCACAGTGAGTCCCTAGGGGCAAACTGCCTTCCTACCTTTTCCTTTCCCTCCATTTGAGGGGTGGGGGGGAGTTCCCCCATCTTCCTTTCGGCTCCTCCCGTGGTCTGAGACCAGCCCCAGGCCCCTTTCTTCCCCGTGGAGGCTGCCGCGACTCGGCAGCGCCCCCTACTGACCACACCAGCGAACTGCAGGCTCTGTGCCTCTGCGATCCAACAGCGCCCCCTGCAGGCCACGATTAGGACTGCGCTAATAGGACAGAGAAGTATTTGCCAGACTTTTTTTTTTTTTTCCTAGGACTACTGCATAGTCTTGTTGTGTTCTGTTACTGTTGTTTTCTAACTGTTTTGCTAACATACATATATCTTTTAATAAAGGGTTGTTATCTCCTCTGTTTTTCCACACTTTCCTCGAGTAAAGCCCCGAAAATTTTAAAACCCACAATTGAAGGGAAAGAGGAGTCTTGTTTCGTCCCATAACTCATTCTCTTTAGCAAACCTTCCAGTCTCTTCAGACTGAGACAATGGGACAGTACTGGTAAGTGACTCTTCCAGGAAGAAAGTTGAGCAAGGTTAAAATGAGCTGGTCACAAATTAATTCAGTCATGAAAATCTTTGTCTTGTTTTCAAGTGGAGATAACATCAACCACCAATGGCAATGAGACACTATGAGAATCAAGAGAATGGTCATAAGGGTTGCAAGGAAACTTAAAGATCATCTAGCAGAATTTCCACTAGACCAGGTTGCTTAAGGCCTTATCCCACCTGGCTTTGAACACTGTCAGAGTTGGGAAATCCACAACCAGCCTGGGCAACCTGTTCCACTGTCTCACCACGTGCACAGTAAAAAATGTCTGCCTAATATGTAACCTAAATTTTCTCTTTCAATTTGTACCCATGACTCCATGTCCTGTCACTACAGTTCCTGACAAAGAGTCCCTCTCCAGCTTCCCTCTAGGCCCCCTTCAGATTCTGGAAAGTTGCTATGAGATTTCCCCACAACCTTCTTTTCTCCAGGCTGAACAGCCACAACTTTCTTAGCCTGTCTTTGTAGTGGAGGTACTCCACTCCTCTTGTCAACTTTGTGGACTTCCTCTGGACTTGCTCCAACAGTTCCATCATGTCTTATGTTAGGGACACCAGAACTGTACACAGCACTCCAGGTGGGATGTCATGAGAGAAGAGTGGGGCAGAATCACCTCCCTTGACCTGCTGGCCATGCTGCTTTTCATGCGGCCCAGGATTTCGTTGGCTTTCTGGGCTGTGAGCACATGCTGCCTGCTCATACTGAGTCTTTCATCAATCATCACCCCCCAGTCCTTCTCCACAGGGCTGCTCTCAGTCACTTCTCCCCCAACATGTAGGTGTGTCTATGATTGCCCTGACCCAGGTGTAGGACCTTGCACTGTGCTTTGTAGAACTTCATGAGGTTTGCATTGGCCCATCTCTCAAGCCTGTCAAGGTCCCTCTGGACGGCATCCCTTCCCTCCAGCATGTCAACCGCACCACAAAGCTTGGCACTAAGGGTGCACTCAATCCCACTGTCTATGTCATCAACAAAGATGTTGAACATGCCCCAGTACTGACCAATGAGGGACAGCACTTGTCACTGGCGGACAATGAGCCACTGACCACAACTCTTTGTGTGCTGCCATCCGACCAGTTCTTTATCCACCGAGTGGTCCATTCATCAAATCCATGTCTCTCCAATTTAGAGACAAGGATGTCATGGGGGACAGTGTCAAAGCTTTGCAGAAGTCCAGGTAGGCAATGCTCTGCCCTATCCACAAATATTGCAGGCCCCATCATAGAAGGTCACCACATTTGACAGGCACGATTTCCCCTTTGTAAAACCATGTTGACTGTTAGCAATCACCTCTCAGTTTTCCCTTTGCCTGAACATAGTTTCCAGGAGAATCTGCTCTATGATCTTACCTGGCACAGAGGTGAGAATGACTCTCTGTAGTCAATGTGTCTTCCACTTTCCCCCTTTTAGAAAATGGAGGTTATATTTCCATTTTCCAGGGTAACTTTTACGTGGAATTTTTAAAGATTCATAACCATCATAGCAAATCATCATATTGATTCATGTTTGCAATTTAGATGAAATAAAACATCTGCAGGTCAGAAAGTGTCCCAACAGGAGTAGCAAACCAATAACTACAATGACACCGAGTTTTGGAGGCACAGAAAAAATGAGTCCCATGTGGTTTTCTTGTAGTTACCTTAAACACTGGGTTTCAGGCAGTGCACTACATCTCTCCATATTTTGAAATGCATGTGAGAAGAATTGCTCTATTGGCAACTCTGATCCTATGAGTTTAATTGATTGTGCATCTATGTTAACTCACCCTGTAGCTCTGTATCTTTCTCCTGAGATGTTCTCCAGACTCTTTGCAGATTAATTGATTTCCGCAGGTAAACAAGGAGAAGACATACCAGAGGCTGCTATTAACCTACAGGCTGCTGGTCCCCAGACAGTTTGGAGAGTTACCTCAGTGAGAAATATCACAGAGCATGAATCCTCCTGGGCTCGCCAGGGCTAAGGCAAGAACAAGACTGCAGGTAGGCAACATATATTCAATTCTAACATACCTTTTAATCTTTCCCACAGTGCATAAGAAGTAAGATAAGAGGAATATACACTGTAGGAGACCTCAAGGCAAGAACTGAACAATGTCACACTTCAGGCCCCTGCTCCAGCAGCTGAGCTTGTCAAACAGCCAAATCCTTTTTTCCTTAACACACCCACTGCAAAAGCACCAGTCTTCCCAGTGGAGCATCTAAGAAGAAAACTATCTCTGCTCCAAGATCCCTCACTAGTATATTTGACCATAGAAAGTCTTCTTCTAAATATTCTTATTGTGTTTATTTAGTGTTGTGAACCATTGAATTGTCCTTGGCGGCGATATGTATACTAACACCTCCTTCTATCACCTGTAGTTCGTTTGGTAATTCTTCTTGACTAAGGAGTATCTCTGACCAGATGACTCCAAGGTAATCTAGACAACATCCTTAAGACCCTGTGTTACCCTTTTCATTATGCCTTCATTATCCTCCCATGGGCATATGACAGTGTTCTCCCTAGCCTCCATCACATCTCCTTGCTTAGGAGGCAGAGGGCTGGGCCATAAACTCTCCATCATCCTCTGCGTTTTCTTGGTGAAAACACTGAGCCTGCACTTGCAGATTCTAATGAAGGTAACTCTCTGATTTCGTTGGCCAATGTGCACAACCAGGGATGCTCAAGCAGGCAATCCTGACTATTTCTCTAAGACTGATCCCTACTACTATCCTTCCTATGCTTGTTGACACCTTCATTAAGTCTCACACATGAGCTGCCAGCAGAAACAGCATATCCGAAGTCTCATTGATGTTGTTTCACTGGCATGATAGCCCCTGGCTAGGAAGGCTCAGGTATTCTGGGCAGAAAGAAAGCCCAAATGGCTCCAAACCAACAACTAAAAGTCATAGGGTTTCTTGGCTCAGCAGATGCAGCTGTTTGAGCATGTTCAATCCCTGTTGTGGATGGGAGAGCTCAGGGCATGTCTCCATTAGAGTGTTTCTACCCTGGGAAGGAAACAGGGTCCATGTCTTGGAAAGATCCTGGAAGAAGCTGAGATGAAAGTCGAAGAACAATTGATTAGGTAATAGTGCTGTAGCACCAGACTTTGCAAGGTGAATTTGTACAGCTTCCTGATAGTTATATGTGAGGACTGCTGTTTGTACGAGGCTTTTTGGAAATAATTATATATTTGTGAGCCGGTATTTCCTACCACAGGAAACAAATAAGCCTGAGGAATATAAGCACCTAAAAGTTTGAAACTGCCATGCATCATGTCAGAAATAATGCTGTGCCCAATGCTCATTTGATACATTTTGTGCCCCTAGTTCTCAAACCACCACCCACAGTCTTTCTCTCTATGGGTTTGAAAAAGTGCTGTGTTTACTGACAGGACTCTAACCATGTGCACCGAATTCTGCTGAAAATCCGACTCTGCATGTGCAAATGAGACATGTCCATCGGGCTCTTGACGATACGCCGCCAGGGTCCTCTGGCTGTGCAGCTGATGCCCCAGCACCCTAAACCATGCTGTATCCTCCTGGGCCACCAGAACTTGAAGGACAGTCTTTGATTTAGGGGTTTGCCTAGTGAATAGTAATTTGTTCTGTGGTGACTTCCCAGCTGTTTTCCAAAGCGCTGGCATATGACAACAGAGTGTCTCCAGTCAGTCTGAGGCCTCCCAAGCCCCCAACCATGACAAGGGAATATTTATATCTCACATATAGCAGGTCAACATTTTCTAAGTTATCTTGGCTTTTTTTCACACTCAAAAGTTCTCTGTATCCACTGACTCTTTCCAGGGTAAGGGCAATAGGAACCAATATGAAGTCAGTCAGATGTCCTTTCATGTCAAGCATTCTGCCTCTGAGAGGGGCTATGTGTAAGTACAGCAAAGGAAGAAGTAAGAATCCTTGCTAATGAAAAATATGTCTACAACTTAACCACCCCTGGTACTTATATTCTCAGTTGATGATTTGTACCATGAAGCTTGGCAGTTTGCCTCTCTTGGTGTGTTTGTTCCTAAATAAGTAAGAAATACTCAATCCCTGCTAGCTCTGGAGTGCAATACTACTATGAGTTTCACAGGATAATACTATGGAAAAAGAAAATTTCCTGTTCCTATCTTTAAAATTTGTTCCACTTCCATTTCTTATTGTTCCACTTCCATTTCTTATTGTTCCACTTCCATTGTAAGAAATGTCAGCAGACAGCTATTTACAGACATTTACAATTTCTGGCCTTTAAACTGACTGCCTGTAGTCTATCAGAATGTCTCACATGCCTTGAACTCCCACTTCATTTTGAAGATTTCTTTTCACTTCAGTATTGTGCCTCTTCTTTCTGACTAATATGTCTAATGAATTACATATTAATGTAAATGCAGTTTCAGTGTATCCATTACTGTATTATGTGTATTGTCCTCATGATTACACCATCTACCATACAATCAAAATTAAAGGCAATATGAGACTAAGATCAAATACTCCTTCCTGCTAACATTTATTAAATGAATTTGTTGGTTCCAAATATGTGTTTCAAAGTAGTAGCTAATAAATTAAAAAAAAAAATTAAGATTTCCATGTGCAGCTATAGAAGTACCATCACAGAAGCAGATTTCAGTAAATTTTCCCAGTGTGTACAGCAGTATAAAAATGTGGTTTGGGTTTTTTTCCCAATTCATGAAATTCACCACTTAAACTGATCTTAACCAAAGCCTTAGTTCACTGAATGAATAATAGGACACTTCTGTACAGATTCACAAGGCACTTTCTATGGAGGAAGACAACATCCTTCCTTCAAGTGGTATTATTAAAGCTCATTAAACTTTGAGCAGTACAATGGTACTTATTATGAAGAAACAGAATCATAGAATGGTTTGAGTTGGAAGGGACCTTACAGATCGTCTAGTTCCACCCCCCTGCCATGGGCAGGGACACTTTCTACTAGATCAGGTTGCTTAAGAAATTGAAGCAAATGTTTGAGTTTCTCCTCCTTGGACTTTTCAGCCAACGTATCTGAACTATTTTTAGTAGTGAGCTGTTAGTGTGCCCAAACTACCTCTGCAGCATGGTCAGAAATTATATAGTCTGAATTACATGTGTTGTGTTCCAATACTTCACTGGGTGTATACCACTATACATTTCACAAAGGGTGTAAAGGGAAGAGGAATAAGATTTTCAGTTTGTGTTTTTAATATGACACATGAGAAATGACCTGTTGGAAGATTTTAAGTAATGCACATATTCTCAATTTTTATGAAATCAAGCTGTATTTCAAGTATCATTTTTTAAAAAAGAGAACAATGAGATAAACATTTTGTTAAGGATTAACATTATGGGAAGCTTTCTGATACTCCACTGTTGGATTCAAATCTTACCAATTAGTTTCGGTTATCAAATAATGGGCCAGGTTGCCTTCTCTTTGTTTTCAGTAATGTTGTTGGCACAACAATGTGCACTAGAGTTGCCAAGGATAATAAACATCTCAAAATGGAGGACACTTCACACCGGTAACAGGATTTCACACAAAAGATCTATCTTTTATATAGGTTATTCCTAAGAAGGATTTCAAACTCATTCATTAGAGCTACCTGCATTGTGAGTTTTTGCATTGATGACAACATTGATTAATGGAGAGGAATAGATGTAAGGCAGGTCAACATGAAATGGAATTTTTCATTTTTCCTGAAAAAATAATCTCCGCAAAATGCTTTGTTTCTTTTTATCCAATATGTTTAATTTTGTTTCAAGATACGTATTTATTCACTGTTCTTTTCCTTAGTGCTTATGTGTATTTTAAAAGAGCCTTTAGCTTCTATGATTTGAAAAATAAGCACTTGACTTTTTCAAAATGAACCATGGGAATTCAAAATCTTCAAAACACTTCAACTTATATAATTGCTTTCTGTTTTCTAAACAAAGGTGATTGGTGAATCCAGCCAAAATTCACAAGTTGTTTCTTCCTTGTACTAACACCTTCAGTGAATTTGCTGGAACCATTTCACCTCTCTCATTCTCCAAAATTTGAAGCAATTTTGGAAGAATTTAATCTTTAACCCAATTTCATGCTTGTGTATTCTTTCCCTCTTAAGTTCCCAAATTCTTCCTTACATAGCGTGCAAAATATTCATTTTCTTTTGAGAACGTGGAAGCCTTAATCACTGCAGGTTGCATAATAAAGACCTCCAGGAAAAGCCTTTTTCACCAGAAGAACCCACAGCTCTTGGGCAACACTCTCAGATCTCCTGCCTTGGCAAAGCTCCCAGTGTGCTAGCACAGCACTGCCTCCCCAAAATGCACCCCAGGGAGCTGTGCTGTGTGGAGCCACCGGTACCTTGGCTGACCTGCGCTAGCACTGATGTGATGTGATTGAATTAGAGTGTGTGGCTGTGGACAAGGCAGGGGGAAATGAGGCTCGGCAGCACACAGTGCAGAGAACTTGGTGACTGGCAAGCAGGGATAACCTGATTGTGTGGTGAAATGTCTAGAAGCACGGAAGAAAAACAATCACTCCCATTAACCCTCTTAACTACATTCCATTTTGACACATCAATGAAGCGTAGAGCTAGCTGACAAAGAGGGATCATTTTTAGAGTAGCTTCAACTGTATGTCTAGCGATTATGTGCTCCAAGAGTCATCTCAGAGGAGAAGCTATATTGTTACCTATATCTCTCGAAGCATTCATTTGAGGCTATATAAGTTGTCAGGGAGTAAGGTACTCCGTATGGAACAGAAGAGAGGCAGTCTATTCTAGAAAAAAATCGTGGCCTAATTCACCTAAAATTTTTGGGCATTGTTTTGTGATTTAGAGCTCTGAATAACTAGTGACTTGTGAATACTCTTAGGCACTCCATATTGCTCACTGGTCACATAAACTTGGCTACTGGGAGTGTGTGGTTTGTCCCTTGAAAGATGTAGCTCTAGCCCTGGTGAGGACAGTCCCAGGCAGCAATCTGATGCCATGGAGGACACAGTATCTACCAGAGATGCCAGCCACAGGATGAGAGCGACTGCTGTCTTTCAAGTTTAGGCCCAGGTAGCACACATCTCCCTGAATCTCTGAAAGGCAAATATATGAGCTAATGTCAGCAACATACACACATGCTCACAGTGATGCAGTTCAGGTAGCATCATGTTTATGAAAGATATTTGTTTAAGAACCGTTTTTTCCCTAACAATTTCAATGCTTGGTTTGGCAATCTACCCTCCTTTCAGTTCTGGCCTCAGACTCAGCAGTCTTTCCTACCTTAACTGCTAAGCCCAGGGAGAAGGGGTGGCCACTCTCATGTCGTGTCCGCCAGTGGTGGCACCCGTGCTGTGGGCAGCCCCACAGCCCCAGCTGTCAGCATGGGCTCCTTCCCAGGCCCTTATATGGAGATGAGCACACACCAACCTTGGGCAACCTGCGCAACTTGCTTTTTCTCGAAGTTGCTGGCACAGAGAGGTGGCTGCTGGAGCTCGAGTATAATTCATAGGCCCACAGGCAGGAGTGCGTTTTGTCTCTGCACCCATTGATGCAGCATTCTTCTGCATACGAGAGCACTGGCATCTCTTCTGTCCCCAGGGTTCCCATGCTTAGCCATTTTGCTGTGCTTGCCCCTCACAGATTTTCCCCCTTCATCTTCAGCCACATCCTGTCTTACTGATGATCTTGCTCTGCTGAGTGCATGGCAAAAGTGCTATGAATTTTTTCAGGTGCATCACTCATGTTTGTTCCATCTTCTGCTTCTAGCTCCTCTCTTGAATTAATTAGCTCCTCTCTTGCCTCTTCTGCTTTTAATCTTTTTCCACCTCAACCTTTCCTTTCCATATGCCTTTTAACCTGATTTCCTAGTCAGGTTCTTAAAACACAGATACATAAGCTTTGCATCATGTCTCTTGTCTGCCATTTGTCTGATGATTTTCCTTTCTAATTCTGTCCTGAGAACATAACTGGCTTTTGCTCTCTCCGTCTCTTTCAGCCAGGTGATCCAGTCCATCCCTTAGGAACAGCTGTTGCCACTCAACTCTTACTGCAAGCCAGGAGTGGGACTTCATCAACAATTGTAAAAGGGTGGCATGCTCTAGCTGCAGAACATGCCGTTAAATAGTAAAGTAATATTTACATAAAGAAGCTTTCACTTCACAAATGTGCAAGCCCACTTGTCTCTGACTCCTTTGATTTCTTGCTTTTGCATGCCCTGCTCCCACAAAGGAAGCCATCTTCAAGCCCACTTCTCATTTCATTACCAGTCATTTCTAATCATAAGGAAGTTACTGTCTGTCCTTCTTTTTTCCATCCTCTTGCTTTTTGATCCTTGTACCCTCTCCTTAGCGCTCCCTACCTGAAATATTACTCTTGTTGCACCTCAGCTCAAATGGCTGAGAGCTGAGCTCAGTAGAGTGTATTTCCATATCTCTTCCCAGATTGAGGTTATTCATTAATCCAGGCTGTTGTTGAAGGAGGTCTGGCAAGTTTTCTTTGTCATAACTGCTACTTAGAGCAGTGTGAAACAAAGCAGCACTGAAAACCGCTACTACAAATAGCTCTCAATCCCTCAGGCTGGATCCTTGAGAAGTTTGTCCTTCAAATAGTTCAGAGAGCAGCCAATCTCTACACAGTGCTCATGGGTCTTCCCAAACACAGTGTGAAGGGTAGGGATTTCCACAGCAGGCCCTCCTTCCTCAGAGCAGATCAATAAACAAAATCCTTTCTATACAGGATCCCATTTCATACTTCTTAGGAAACAGATGCCATCCGGAGGCATGCATTATCTTCGAGAAGAAGAACATTTGTTGCGTCATGTGGGGAATGAGTATGGCCCATTTCAACTTATTCCCATAGTTCCAATCTGCCTGTGAATGGAAAAAAAGGAAAACTAAAAAAATATTTAGAGATTAAATTACCTCCCAGCAGCGGTGGCAGCCTTGGAGT